CATAGGAGAAATATAAAATGTATAAAATGTAAGATTGCATGGATATACACAAAATATTTTCTTTAGACTAAAACAATAATATCTATCTCATCCTCATTAAAAACAGGATTGTATATGACCTTTTAAAATAAGGGTTGGTTTGAATTATAAAGCAGAGGACACCAGGAAAAAACTTGTCAGGATAAAGAATAGGTCTTTGATGAGCAATAGCCTTGAATTCTACAGCAGGCATTTGAAAAGTGCAGTGGGGACTTGGGGCAAGAATTACCTGCTGTATAAGCAAGGTGTTCTTACGTAAAATGTTTCTGATTTAACTTTCTTTTTACCCAGTCCTGGTTTTCACTATTAACACTACAGTCCAGATCTTTTGTGGTGAGGACAGTAGGCATTGGAGGACTCATCTAAGAAAAAGGAGTAAGAGTCTGTGATTGTTTTAATTTACATTCCTTTTGCCTATAATCTGCCTTCCTGGTTTTTATTCCCATTCTTATGTCCTAGCATTTTTTTTTTCTTCCAAGAAGATGGAGAAAGTTGGTGGTCCTCAGGGCAAGAGCCTTTCCAGCTGTAGTTAAGAACAGGCTGTCCCTTTCCTGTGCTGTCTTCAGATTGCAACAACATGAGCCATAGAACTCATAGTGCCTACATTTTGTTTTCGTTTTTCCCTTAGATATCTCCACAGGACCTTCTTGGCTAAATCAGGGACTACTACTGAACTCTACCCAATCAGTTTCAAATTTAGACCTGACCACTGGTGCCACCTTACCCCAGTCAAGGTATGTATTTATTTTCAAGGCTAGAAAACAAACCACAAAGCCCTGACTCTGAAGGGGCTGCATTGTTGTCAGCACAGGTCTTGAGCAGGTTTGTGGCAGATCTTGTCAGTAGTACCTCCTTCCTGTGTTTTTATTCCTGTGTTTTACAAAAAGGTCCATACCTTGGCTCGGCACCTGTAGCTCAGCAGCTAGGGCGCCAGCCACATACACCAGAGCTGACAGGTTTGAATCCAGCCCGGACCTGCCAAATAACAATGACAGTTACAATAATAAAAAATAGCTGAGTGTTGTGGCAGACACCTGTAGTCCCAGCTACTTGGGAGGCTCAGGCAAGAGAATTGCTTAAGCCCAAGAATTTGAGGTTATTGTGAGCTGTGACACCACAGCATTCTACTGAGGTGATTGAGATTGTCTCCAAAAAAAAAATGTCCATACCACCTTAATGAGCCTGTGTGTTTTTAATTGTTTGCTAGTGTAAACCAAGGGTTATGCTTGGATGCTGAAGTGGCCTTAGCAACCGGGCAGTTCCTGGCCCCAAACAGTCACCAGTCCAGCAGTGCCGCCTCTCACTGCTCTGAGTCCCGAGGTGAGACCCCCTGTTCATTCAACGACGAAGACGAGGAAGATGATGACGAGGATTCCTCCTCCCCAGAATAAAGACGGGAGAAAGCCTACGTTTTAATGTTTGATGCTCATGTGTGTTTTTAGTGTGAGCTCTTGTTTTTGAAATGATTGCTTCAGTCTTTGCCTTTGCACTGTGTGTTCAGTGAAAACTAGAGAAACACGATAAGCAATTTACATAAAGGCTAAGAAGATTGAGAGGAAAGTTAACATAGTGTGAATGAGAACTCTGCCCAACAGAGCGGTAGGTCATATTGCAAACAAAGCATGATTTCTGAGGATGTAGAGGGGCAGCATCCCCCCAGAACTGGCAGTATGAATGAAGCTCATTTATCTTCCATGAGGCGAGGTCTTTGTACTCCCCATACCCGTGTAATCCTTCTTAGAATTGAGGTTGCCACAAGGAACAGTCCTTGACCGTCATGCTTCAGAAGGTTCTCGCTCTCCCCCCCGGGCTGCCTGCTACAAGGCAGAAATGAACACAAAACGTCTCCAGTGGGGAGAATCGTGCAGTGAGGGGCATGGAGGGCGATGCTTGTGGCCTGAGGAGCACAGGTTGAACTGCTGGACTAGTTGAAAGTCTAGTTGAGGTGCTTTATGCATCAGCTGCCTTAGACAGCTTCTAGAAAGGAGCGAGCGCTAATTTTTAAGTACTTAAGTGACATTTAGAATAATTTATAGTAAAACTGAAATTATCATTATTAGCCAATGCATTGGTGCATAGAATTTACTAGGGCTACTTCTGGAAGCCAAAATAGAATAGCATTTCCATGTGCATTAAATACTTTGCCAGCACTGCCTTTTGCCAGCGTTCTAAATCTGGAGTTTTACAGAGAAGGGAACCATATCTGTAATTTTAATCAAAGCTATGCATTTCACATGGCTTTTTCATTTAAAACGAAACAAACAAATTCCTATGACCAAATTGTTTGCCTACAGTTCCCTCAGTAATTGTATGATGTCACCTAGTGTGCAATTTGTGAAAGTGAACCAAATGTCATTACTTTTGTCTTAAAAGAAAAGTCTATTTCAAGAATATGAACAGTAATGTTTTCTTGTACATGTCACCTTTTTCTACATTTTCAGTAATCAAAATGACCTTATTGGGTTTATTCCTGGGTAAATTACATTTCAAACTAACCTGAGATGCAGTATTTTCCAGAAGCACTGGGAAACACTGAGCACTCCTGCAGATGGGGTGTTGGGTGGTGAGTGTGGAGCACATGGCCGCCCAGCCGTAGGAGCTGGTAAGATGCTGCCCTGGTGCTTCCACCGTCACTGTCCCTGACGGCAGGGGAGTGGGGATATCCAGTACCTTGGCCAGACCCAAAATTAATTTCACATTAAAACCTTTAAAAAGAAAAAAATAATGGGAGAATTAACTCTGAAACTTTGACTTGAATCATACACATTTGTCTTGAGATTATATATCCAGCATCTGTGGATCCAGCAGCAAGCTTGGTGCAAGTCCATTTTTTTCTAAATCCCACCAGGGAAATATAAGCTCTATCCTGTGATGCATTTTTTTTTTCTCTTGAGACAGGCTAGAGTGAGGTTGGTGTCATAGCTCACAGCAACCTCAAACTCCTGGGCTCAAGTGATCCTCTTGCCTCAGCCTCCCGAGTAGCTAGGGCTACAGGTGTGGGCCACTATGGCTGGCTAATTATTTTACCTTTATGTTTGTAGAGATGGAGTCTCAATCTTGCTCAGGTTGGTCTTAAACTCCCAACCTCAAGCATTCCTCCCACCTCGGCCTCCCAAAGTGCTAGAATTACTGGCAAGAGCCACCATGGCCAGCAGTTTGGTGCGTTTTTAAAGCTTTACCACTATGCTTACAGTGGGCTGGGGGTGAAAGCTTTGACAGGCTTTCCATTTTTACTAAGGCCATAAAAACTGATAAACAGGAACATACAACTTTAGCATAAGCTCCTTTGATACAAAACTCTCATTCTGCCAGAAATAAGCCATAGTGCAGACTCAGCATTCCGGGGGCAGGGAGACAGGCAGTTTTAGAGAGTCCTTTCTTGGTGTGAGTTTGGGCTCACACCTCGAGACTGATCCGACTGGAGCAGTCAGGAACACTGCAGAGGCTGCAGTAGGTCTCCAGGGGCCGAGAGGAGACAGTTCTGACTGGAAAACTGCCAGCTGCGCAGACCAGGTAAACAGGATTTCCTTCCACACCGTCCTGTACCGTGCTGCCCCTCCTTAACTAACCCCAGCCTTTCTCATCTTTGTACTTGAAAGGGACCTGGAGAGACCACGGGCCACAGCTATCTCTGTAGTTTTCGAAACACTGAATGAACTACAGGTTCCAAAATACTAAAATTTAAGGCAGGTACATTAATAATTCTAGAAAAGTTCTTATGGAGTTGTCAGAAACCATTTACTTCTCTGCACCCCGTCTCTGCCACTACAGTGCTTTATTGATAAAACGGGCTGAAAGGAGAAGGCAGCCCCAGTTTCCGATCCTCTGTGCTGCCCACCGTCAGCCATCCCAGCCACAAGTTTGTGGGGTTTGGTAGGAAGTGGCCTCCCTTCCTCGGCACAATGTCCGGGTTACTGCTGAGGCCATCTCCACAGAGTGACACCCTGGTCACGAGTACGTGTTGGCAGTATAAAACCTTGCCTGGAAAAAACTAGCTTGAGATGTTTAGAAAGAAAATTCTGTTACTCTTCTGTGTTTCCCCTAAACATTTTGCCTGTTCTAAAGTTCAGCCCTGAGTCATGATCTCATACAAGAAGTGGGAAAATGTTAGAAACCGTGGTCACAGTATCTGAGCTTCTCTGCAGGAGTAGTGCACCTCCCGGCCACCCTTCCCAGGGTGTGCTTGTGCAAGCAGCTTTTGGGGGAGCGCAAGAGCCTTTCCTCCTTGAGGGTGGGTTTGGCTGCTCCCCTTCCGGGCATGCAGTGTCCATCCGTAGTTCTTGCTTCACTCAGCAAACACGCAGGTGGCCCCTGAGCACACAGCTGTGCAGAGGTGTCCCTTCACACTTCTCCACTGTCAGCCTGTCATCCACGTGCTCTTTTCATTGGTGAAGTGCTTGGGGACAAGGCTCCTGGGAGGCCTTGAGGAGAGAGCAGGGAAGGAGGGACTAACACAGATCTGAACTGTGCCTGTCCAAGAAAGCTGCGGATGAAGGGGACATGTTTGGTGTCCTTCACTTTAATTTTTTAAAGAAATGATGAGAAAAAAATCTGAGCTTTCTTTAACTCCTGCCATTAGCAGAATTTACAGTTGTAACAGTGCTGTGCTGTATTTTGAAAATAAGGCCACATTTGGTCCTCTAACCCCTATCAGATCATTCTAATGGAGATTTTCCCAAAGGAGTGGCTTGGTCTGCCTTGCAGACATCTTTAACTGGGCTGTTGGTTTGCTAAACCACAATGTGGCTACGTGGGTCATAAAGACAGCAAAGTTGCTCCACGTATTGATGTGCGTTAGGGACAGAGCACAGTGTGTCTGGGGGGTGTTTAGCAGAGGATGGGAGCTGCCGTAAGTTTCTGCTGTAACTGCGCTGATAGGAGCCTCTTTGGCTTCATAAATGATTCAGAGGCCCTTTGAATGCCTGTCAGACTTCCTCCCATAAAAATATGAGCTGTCTTACCCCAAAATCTGTGAGGTTGTGCTCAGAACTGTGCTTAGTAGTAAGTATGGTGTGAGGGTGGGACAGCGAGTATGAAGATTTCATCCTTCATCAGTACCTCCTACTGTGTGCCAGGGGTGGGGGAGAGCAGTGACAGCCCTGTCATTCTGGGGAAATAGTCACAGGCAGCTTCCAAGTGGTGAGTGCTGTGGGAAAGCAGCAGAGGGGCAGCGGGAAGGCCTCTCTGAGAAAGTGACTTTGGTCCTGAGTCAGTGAGAGGACAGGTGTGTCTGCCTCCTTAACAAGCCGCTCGGTTACATAACATGCACCTGGAATCTCCTGAATTCCAAAGGCCCCACGGTGCCAGTTTTAAGCATACGTGTTGGAATCTGTTAAGGAATTTTTAAGGCCTGAAAGAATACCGTAAAACTTGACTACCACAGTACCCATAAACCAAGAGATTAATCCATGAGCTTCCCACCATTATTAGCCTCACTACCTGCCAACTGAACCCACACAGTAGAAAGGCGAGGAGAAATGGAGAACTGTCCACGTCGTCCGTTTCTGTGTCGGACGTGAAACTGGCTGTTGGGCACAGGGGCCAGCTTTCGTGAAGCTGAGGGCCAGGCTGCCTAAGAACCATTTTCCCAGATGGGTTCCCCACATTCACGCACCCAAAGCAGTTTTCCCACATTTGTCTATGTTCACAATATGCTAGGGAAGAAAAAGTGGGTGGACACAAAACTTTGGTCCTGTGGCTGTCCCTGGGAGCCTGTGCGGTGTAGCCACTCACCTGGTCAGGAGGCTGCTGCCTGTGGTCTGAGGGAGGAGGAGGTGTCTACTCGTGGGTTCTGTGCGTTCCGTGCACTGGTTCGTGCCACAGTTCTCAGACGAGGCAGAGCATACCTTCTTCCTATACCAGCTTCACTGCAGAAAGTCTGGAAGTCAGTGCTGTCCAGACCCCTGGCCTTGCCAGCACGTTAGATGTTGGTCCTGTCAGAGCTCCACTGGGAGCCAGCACAGCTGAAGTGTAGGATCAGGACTCGCCCCTTACCGCAGGGATCAGGACGGGAGAGCATCTTTTTTACCCTTGTTTGGAGATGTGAAGCCGAGAGCCAGGCCTGCCTCGTGCCCTTCAGCCTGTCTGTGGGAGGGTCTGCACCAAGCCCTGGCTTCCCCCGGTGAGGGCCACGTTGCCTCTGCACGGTCCAGGCAGGGGACTTTTGGATTAGCAGCAGTGTCTGTGTCACCAAGTGTCAAAGGGCTGAGGAGAAGTGGGACTCCGCTCCCAAGCCCTAGCATGAGGCAGTGGTGCCAGCTGTGGGCACCTCTCAGCGCAGAAGCCCCCAGGTGTAGACAGTTACAGGTGGGAGGAAACTTGGTCCTTCACAGACGCAGGCTCGTTCATGGTCATGGCCAGGGGCTTGAGTGGTGGGGCTACCAGCTGAACTTGTGTTCCACACTGGCTTGTTCCTGTCCTCACCTGTCTCAACATAAAAAGGAAACTTCCCCAGATTGTGTTTGCTTTTAAAAACCCATTACTTTGTCACACTTCACTTCGTACTCACCATTTGTCCCTCACCATCCTTTACTAAGCCAGGCATCAGTGACAATGGCCTGATAATTTTGCCTGTTCAGATGGGTCGAAGATGTTTATCAGACTAAAAGGTCACTGACAGCCCAGCTACGTTTCTGCTCGGGGCTTCTGGCTCCACAGCTGTTTTCCCAGTAGTACCATTAACAGGTTCAGGTTCACCGTTTTGGTATCATGAAAAATGGAACCACCAAGTGACCACTGCACGCTGGCTGCTCCGGAGGCCTGAGCTCTGGGGATGTTTCAGTACTGTGAGTTCCTTAGGGTATTTTGTTCACCACCACACCTGACTTTTGGGCAAAAGGGAGATTAAAAGGCTTGCTGCGAGCCCAAGTCACCAGTCTGTTCATCGGTCCATTTGAAGATGCTTTGCTTTGACACGTGCTGCTAGGTTTTATTTCCAGAAAAGATAGTTCTTTTTTCCGCATGAAGGATACATCGTGGTGCCACACGCACTAAGCAGTTTGAACAAGGCCGAGGCTGAGCTGCCCGGGTGGGCTTCCTCCCCTGACTGAAGCACAGAGCTGATGCCATGCGATGCGTTATTTTGTAGCCTCTCAAACTTTGTAAATAAATACCATTATTTTTATATGAAATTTTATAGAAGAGCTATTTCTGTATACTTATTCCTGCATTTTCTGAAATTGCTTCCAAGCAGTTAGGAACGCGAGTCCTAAGCAGGTTCCACCAGGGTTTCGCAGCTCAGCGTCCCCAGCACCTGCTCCAGATGCCACGCGCGCGCCGGGGGTGGGGCTTGGGAAGCGGCATTTCAATAAAGGCTGATGTTTTTGTCCATTAAAAAAGTGTGAGCATCTTTGTCTATCCTGTAAGATTATAACAAGGAAAGACAAAGCATCTG